CATGCTGCAGCCTGGGCGCTTTGAAGGCTTTGTGAGCCGGTGGTGTCTGGGGTTTGTCTTACGGCGGAGTCAAGCTTCTGTCGTTTCTGAGACGGGCCACCGCCAGGCGGCATCTTCCCTGTTATTCCCGAGGGTTCAGGAACGTTTTGCTTATAACACAGGAAAAAAAGAAAATCTGTTTTTCTCCTCTCATTTTTTGCTTCAAGATAGCCAGAGCGAGAAAAAAAGATAAGAAAGCAGGAGGAGAAAAGCAAGATGTACAGAGAGATGAAGGACAGCAAGGGAGGGATGGGGCAGCAAAGAGGGAGGCCCAGGAGAGTGAGGGAGACGAGGAGGGATTTGGAGCCGGGGCAGACAGAGCAGAGGGTGCTGGTGGCAAGGAGAATGTATGGTCTTTTAGGCTGACTGATGGTGCCCTGGATGCCATGTTAACCTCTGTGACCTGTATGGACACTCCAGATGAGTTCTTGGAAAATCTGTAGTAACTGAAAGGCCATGAAAAGGGGAAGAAATGATCAACCCCTGTGGTGCCTACTTAACTTTGAGACAGTCTCTGTTTTTCTTTATTCCCACCCCAGTTGATAAGGCAATTGGACTTCGTAACTGACCTTGATCAGCCTCCTGACTCCAGACCTGAGACCCCCTCCCAGCTTGCAAAAAAACACCCTAATCTGTAACTTCTGTAACTTTCCACTGCTTACCCCAAACCTATAAAACCAAGTCCTATCCCACCATCCTCTGCTGACTCTCTTTTCACACAGCCTGACCACACCTGGTGAATAAACTCACACAAAGCCTGTTTAGAGGATCTCTTCATTCAGAGCACGAGTTTTAACGGGGAACAGAGAGAGAACCACAGCAGGGAGAACACGTGGGGATCTGGGGTGCCAGAGAGTGGGGAGAGGGTGGTATAACAGGGAAGAGAGAATTTAACAGGGGGAGCAGAGAAGGGGCAGAGATGGGAGAAGAGGTGGAAATACATGGAGATTGAGGAGGTTCACAAGATTGGAGAGAAGAAGGTTAAATAAATGGGGAAAATGGAGCAGAAGAGGTGGAAGAGAAGGAAAGAGAAGGAATATAGGGACGAAGGGAATAAACAGCAGGAGAGAAGAGGGGTACAAAATGAGGAGCAGAATCCCAGGGAAAAAGAAGAAAAGAGCTAGAGAGAAGGGGAGAATGAGAGAGATGTGCAGAATTAGGGAGGGAAGCACAGTAATGAAGAAAGGGGCTGGGAGCAGTGGCTCCCGCCTGTAATCCCCGCACTTCAGGAGACTGAGGCAAGGGGATTGATGGAGTGCAGGTGTTCAAGACCAGCCTGGGCAGCATAGTGAGACCCCATCTCTGCCAAAGAAAAAAAGAAATTCACCGGACATGGTAGTGTGCACCTGCACTCAGCCACTCTGGAGGCCGAGGCAGGAGATAAGCCCAGGAGATCCAGGCTGCAGAATTAGGGAGGGAAGCACAGTAGTGAAGAAAGAGGGGCTGGGCACAGTGGCTCATGCCTGTATTCCCAGCACTATAGGATACTGAGGCAAGGGGACTACCTGAGTCCAGGAGCTTGAGACCAGCCTGGGCAACATAGTGAGACATTTATCTCTGCCAAAAAAAGAAAAATTCACCAGGAGTGATGGTGCACAGCTGTAATCCCAGCTACTCTGGAGACAGAGGCAGGAGGATCACTTGAGCCCAGGAAGTCCAGGCTACAGTGAGCGGAGATCATTCCACTGCACTCCAGCGTGGTCAACAGAGCAAGAGCCTGTCTCAAAAGACAAAAAGGGCAGGGTACTTTGGGTTCAGTGTGTGACTTCATTGGATGTGATTAGTTGTAATATGTTGACTCCTGTGTATATAATCTAATAACTTAAAACTTATTTAA